CGGGCCCCCCAGCAGGTGGGACTCCTCTGCATCGGTATTTCTGATGTTGTTTTCCGCCACATCCCGCTCTTTCAGGCGGAAGTCTCGGACAGCTACGGGCGCTCCTAACTCGCCCTGCCGCAGCCTGCCCAGGCGCGCGTTATGGAAAATATCGGAGTACCAAGAGGGCAGGTTGGAAGGAAATAATGCGATAAGCTGCTGATGCTCACTGCCCCTGCCTTCCTGCTGTTTAATTACTCTACGGACAAGTTTTTGGTTTCGGACCAAGCCACTCGCCATCCTCGCCTGCTGTTGTCGCCTCGTGTGGAGCCCTGGGCCACTCCCCTGTCTGCTCTCATCACCTGGCTGCAGCCTTCCTAATTTTGCTGTCATTGGCAGATGACAGCGTGACTGCATTTGCACCAGAGAGATGCAAAGCCCCTTTGCCAGTAAGGAGAGACGCTCTTAATTTCCCTTTAATACCTTTCTCTTTATTCGGAATACCCTCTCTGGATGTGGCAAAAGAAGTCCAGGTCTGAGCTGCAAGCAAGGCAAAGCCTTCCTGCTTGGAGACAACGGCTGGCTCTGCATCACACAGAAACGAAGACTGAAGATCAAGTACTACTGTGTATCTGAAGTCCATCCCAGGAAACAAGACACAAAATAAAGAGGTGGTGTTTTATAAAGCACTCTTCATGGAAAGGCACAATGAGATTATTTAATATACTAGCCCAGAAACGTAAATGACTGTCTGTGAAGCAAGCGCTGCTGTTTAACTGCACCCACAAACTACACGCAGGTTTGCTTGCTAACGAGGAATGTCATCTCCAGTTGAAATTACGGAGGAAAGTTGGGTGCAGTGTGCATAATTAAACCACATCACAGATGTGAAAGCTGCAATTACATATCTCTAATGATCACAGCGGCTCAGTTACCACTTTCGTAGTAGTGTTCAACAAAACCTGGAAAAGAATGTGAATTTCCCGGCCGCTAGTTGAACTAATATTCTGGCGCGGGGATGCCTTTAGGGCAGGCTAGGGCCACCCCTCAGTCTGGCCGGCGGAGAGCAGCTCTGGAGAAACCACTCGCCTTCTACAAAGGACAGAGAGTGCATTACTGTTCTAGGTACAGCCTGTCCCTTCCTCAGCGCGCGGCCTGGGCTCTGCACGTGCAGGTGCGCATCGTGCGCAGAGAGCAGCACGCGCAGTGCTGCGCGAGGATGGCACCTTCCCAGCCACGCCGCCGTGCCGCAGACACCGTCACCGCTGCACGCAGACCGGCCTGCTCACGCTCTAGCGTGGATTTCCACGCCAGGCAACATCTCCCTGCAACCCAGAGCCTCACGATCACCGCCCAGGGCTTGCGTGACTCGCTCTGGAAGTGGAGAGCTGGTCGTTCATTCCGCCGCTGGAAGCCAGCGGGTGAACTGAACGGCGAGGTGGTGACCTGCCGGCTGTTCCAGGAGGGGAGAGGAAAACTGACTGCTCCAGGACCTGTCCTCGCCCCTCAGCTGGCCAGACTCGGCTCTCTGCTCCTGTGCTTAAGAGCGTGGAAGGAGATTTGCCTTCTGCTTACAAGATGATCACTACGGCTTCAGGAGGAGGACTGTATTTCCTCCTAAACCTGTGTCTCTCCTCTGTTTATGCCTTTGTAACTATTTATATGGCGTTTCTGCATCTGTATCACCTGCTTACGGATACAGATGTAGATCACAGAGAGTCAGAGGTTATGTGAGCCTCTGGAATAAATAATATCCACACAGAGCTGTGTAGCGACTTGCTTCAGGCTTACCCAGGAACTCAGGGTCAGCTTGGAACAGAAGACGTATCTGAGACCTACTTGTAGGACTGAAATCTGCAAATACTGCACCTCTCTTCCACCATCTGTACGGATGTAACGGATTCCACTGTACATGACAGAAAAAAAACCATACTTAAAAATAGACACAAATATTCCCTAAGAAACAGATTACTTCCACCTCATTAAAATAATGTACACCGCCCCAGCCCCCCCCATTATCTGTATTGTGGCTTGGGTCTGTATAAACATTTATGCTCAGTTTTTATGTTCCATTAACAAACAGTTTCACTTTACATGCAAAAATCAGGATATGTATTTGAGCTTAATTAGCAAGCAACACAGAAAGGAAACTAACACGTCAGAACACAAACCAGGCTCTGAGCCAGCTTGGTGAGCCTGCAGACCATCGTTCAACACCGACACCTTTGATTTGGAGTTATTGGTTACACACACGAAAGATGTGGCAAAGGCAGGCGCATGCAAGCAGCCAGAATAAAAATCTCAGCCCCACTGGAAATGACTGTTGGTTGTGCAGCTTGCTGGGATCTGGTGACATTCCAGTTGCAAAATATGCCAGGCACCGGTAGAATGTCTGACTTCACGAGGATCATTTTAATTTATCGATTAACAATTCATGTGTAGCTACATCTGTATGCCCACACATACACACTCACATGCAAAACCAAAACCAGCACAACAACCAGAAGCCCAGTCCTGTACCTAAAACATTCTCCCAAGCTTTCTCCTCAGACATGGTGAGGCCGTTTGTACCTCTTGACCAGACTGAACAGACCAACGTGACCACCTTTTTGTTACTGGTTTCACTGAATATAGCCTTTAAGCATTGTCTGTCAGCCTTCACTGTTCTGTGAGTCCGGGTTACTCCAAGAAAAACCTGCAGGGGTCCCCTCCTGTCATCATGCCTCTGGATTCCTCCAGCACTGAGTCCAAATGTAAAACAAAAATAGCTTATAGCCTTCAGTTGATGCCTGGTTACATGAAGAAAAGGATAGTGAGTAAGAAGAGGGAACCTGCCATTTTGTTAACTCTGAACTAGCAAACAAGTGCTCTTGACCGTTTAAAATGATTTGCATATTCCACAGTAAAAGCTCAAAACACTTGTAAACATTTTTGCAAAAAAACACCTCAGTAAAAAAATATTTTGGCTTTAATCACAACGGTGGGTTTTTTCCCTAGAGATTTAACAAATTGTTCAATATTCTCCTGAGTTTTGTGCCCCACTGTGGTCTCTGGAGTTACAGACTGAAACTCTTTTCTGCAAAAGCAGCTTAACAGAGAAGTGCCGCTGAGGCGGAGCAGATGACAGCAGAATCTGATTCCGGGCAGAATCGCGTTCCCACCGGGAGGAGAAGTCAGAGCTCTGCTGTCAGAGGCTCGGGCTGACTCAGTCCTACGAGACCGTGCTTTTAAAGAAAGCATCACACTTCAGGAAATACAACAAAATACAAGAAATACATCTAATAAACCAACTCAGTTCCTGCATTTATTATCCCAATATCCACGTAAGGAGCTGTGAGCAGCTGCACTTTTAGCAACCCTTTCCCAGGCACTGCTGCACTTGTCAGCAAGCTCTTTCCCCAGCAGTGCTCTCACATCCAAAGCCGTTCAGGTGGAGGGATGAAACACCACTAGCAGTGTCTCCACTCTGGTTTCAGGCAGAAAACACCGTCAGAGTTCTGCTGGTGCCACCAAGTCTCGACGGGCAGCACCCTCACCGTCGTGCGGCCGATCGGCAGGGTGGTCCCAGGGAACGCAGCTCACGTCCTCTGGGGCTCCAGACAAAACACGGCAGAAATGTGCACGCACGTGGGAAAGGCCACTGCAGGAGCAGAAACCCACCTGCTCTGCACACCGGGAGACAGGATTTCATCACTGTTTATGGGCCTCCCTGCAGCACAAAACCACTGCCTGTACAGGAGGGTTGGGAGAGGAGGGATGTGGTAAAGGTTTCAGTTATCCTTGTGGGATAAACGACATATAGGGAATAAAATGGGAAATGGAAAGGGAAAGGAATTAGTGGATTAATGGGCAATGCAATGAGAGAAAGGAAGATGAAAGTGTGAAATGAGAGTAAGAACATGTAGGAAAATACCTGGTAAGAAGTTTAAACCAGAACAATCATAGGAGGAACAGAACTGAATTCATAATCAACTTTAAAGTCAGGAAAATTAAATGTGTTTATTTCTTTTCAGTTGTCCGTGGTTTTGCAGTCCACATGTTGGCTAAATGCCGAACAGATGCGCTTGCAGAGAGAGAAGTGCCCGAGTGATTGAGGAGCACAAATCACCCTGAAAGCTACTGGGTGCGAAAGGGGATGCCTTGTGCTCCTAAATCCCTCAGCTGCCTGCGTGAATCCCTCCCACATAGGTACATTCTGTAGGAGGGTACGCACTGCAATTTGTTTTAACTCCAGATACAAGCGTGAGCACCAAGTTATAGTTATGTCACCCAGAAACAGAATCCAACTGATCCCAGTAAAGCACGTTACAGTGGGAAAGGCTGTCGCATAATTCCCTGAAAAATTCTGTAAATAACAGCTGAAAACCAAAAGGAAATCTATTTCAACGACGATTGATATGATTAAGCCATAATGCCTTCCAATGAATTTTCTGGATCAATAGCTAATTTTAAAGACGCATCTCTTTCAAACGCATAAGTACATAATGAAGGCAGAAATGAAGAGTGCAACTTAGCTCTTTGCCGGCAGATTCCAACAACACACGAACCACACTCCCGCAAACTGATTAGGCAAGATATACGTGGCAAACAAGTTCTTTCTGATCACAGCAACAAAAGGAAAAATAAACTTACCTTCTGTCACCCCGATATCTATAGTTCCTTTCACTTGACTAAAGCACCACAGCACATCCTGCATGAGGTTTCCAAATCCTGCCAGGGAAACGCATGCAGAAAGAAGATAAGATATGATCACATTTGTATTTAGCTTGTCCTTTTGTAAACGTACACACACATGCACATACAAATTGGCACAGAAATGTCTGCAGTCCTTGCATGAAGATAAATATTTGCTCACCTGGTATCATTCTTCCTTACAAAGTGCAAAGCCAGCACTGCAGAACTGAAAGCATTATGCCCGTGTTATGAATTGCCCGTCTGTTTGTTCTCTCCGTACCATGGCAGGGCTATTTCGAAAGCGGTGCAATTGGAGTCAGTCCCCTCGACATCACTGGCAGCATCACAGAGGAGTCAGGAGGCCCTGTAGTCACGGTCTTTGTCACAGCCTCTCTTCATCAGAATACTAATGCCCCCTCTCATTTCCAGCTCTGTTAGAGTGAAGCAGAGAAAAAGACAACTATGCTCACTACCACAACAAATTCTTGTCCAATTTGTGGTCAGTGTAGTTGTGTGTTGGCAATGAACCCCAGCAGAATGAAGCTGCTTGAGAGCCCATCATAATATTATAACCAAAATTTGCCAGGAATCAGAAGTGCATGAGGTTGCTTTAAAACAGTACTACAGGCATTTCTATTATAAGGCTTATTATTAAGATGTAGCTCTCTCAACTGTGCTTCCTGCTGTAGCAATGCTCTGTGTTAAGCCAGTCTGAGAGAAATTAGGATTTTACCTACCGCTGCTCCTGATTTTCTTCACAGCTCAGCAGAATGTCCCTTTCTGTAATGCTGTTTTCACTGTAGCACAAAACATCCACTGCCTCAGAGGGCAACTTGCTTGCTCTTATCCTAACACACATCTTACCTCAAAGCAGGTTCCAGACATGAAGAAAGCAGCACAATGGAGCCATGAGGACAGGAAACGTCATCTTGCCCATTTTACGCATGGCTGAAACATGGTGCAGAAAACGGGAGTGTGTCGCGGTCGGCAAGTTGATATTGGGCTCAGCCAGGGCGCCGTGCTATGGCAGACTCCAGCTGGTTACTTCCCTGCAAAAGACAAGGAAAACATGGGATTGGGAGAGAAAGTACAGCTGGAGATAGGATATAACTGAGTTAACCAAACTATCTCATGGCCTACCCAAATATCTTTGTAGGATTTCTGTCTGTTTTTCTTATAACCTGGTACATAACCTTTTTGTATATTAATATAGGTCAATATAGATCATATATATTAAAAGTAATATAGTCATCTTCAGTACATAATAGATACAAAGTCTAGGAAGAGCTTTATTGGATGATTCAAGCCAAACACAGGGGAAAATTGCATTTTTAAGAGTATGAAAAGATCTGGAATCTGAGGGTATGAGACAGTTTGGTAAGATTATGAAAGAATATCAAGTTTAGTGAGATTCATAACTGGAGATGTCCGAACAATGGGAATAGCTACAAAATATGACAGGAAGATGCGAAAAAAATGACATCTACAATACCAAACACGTCTGACCATTATTGCATAAACTTGAATGTCTCATAAATTCTGCTGGGATATTTGAGAAGCAAACAGACAACACGGCGGTTGAGAGGAGCAATGTCATGATGCCCCTTCCAGCAAGCTCTTTGTATTGTTATCGAATTCCACTCAGATAAACTCCTCAAAGGAGAAAGGATTTGTGACTTAAAATTCTTCCTCACAGTCTGGGAATCTGAGGACACCTAACAGGTTTCTGAAAACAGGGATTTTTGTGTTTTCCAGTGCCTTGGCCGCAGGCGGGAGCAGACGAGGGCAGGAGGACGGACAGACAGCACGATAGCCCCCGCGGTGGTCTCCTCGCTGGCCACTTGCCCAGCTCCATTCAGCACTGTTTGCAGTTCTCGCTTAAGGAAAGCTTCTCAGCACCAGAGCAGGTTTTTTTTTCATGAAAGGCAAAAATGAGATTTTAGAGGATTTGTAACCCTCAACTTTCTGAAGAGCCCTGGAAAGTGACACCTTTGACACGGTGTTTGCTGGGCTGCTGAGAGATCAATAGCTCGTCTGTCAGTCCACTGGGCTGTGTTACGAAGCAGCAGCCAACACAAACTCTTCAGGCACAGTTTTAATTCAGATGACAAACAAAGGCAGTATCTAACATGGTCTGCTTGGGCTTAGCAAGCCTTACTTTTATAGATTTCTACAGATAGAAATGGTTCTGACTATTTACAGCATCTCATGATCTTGTGCCTCTTCTAGTGAGAGGAAGGGCGAAGTCCCATGGCGGGCCAGTTACTGACAGCATAACTTTCTTGCTGGGTAGCATCCAATGTAAATTTGAGGATTTTTTAAATTTTAAATGTAATTCATTGTTAAATCCTCAGCGGTGGAATTCTGAAGTTTGAGGGTGGACTCATTTCCCATGCGAAACGCTGCTTGCTGAATCAGAAGATAGACGGTCTCCCAGATGTTTCCACATTTATTGAAACATGATAAAAAATGAATTTAAGAACTGAAGAGGGTTTTTTCCACAAAAATAGGCCTTTCAGCTAGCGGTGGTTCCAACTGGAAGGCATTGTGCATAGCTGAGTGCTAGCGTAGGCGAGGGGAGCTGCAGGTCCTGGCCGGGCTGTCTGTGAGCAAGGGCAGTCAGAACGCGCCAGTCTCGGCCGCCGGGCTGGGCGAGCGATGGCCCCTCGTTAGCCGCGGCGGTGCTTTGGCAGCCCGGTGCTGGATGTGGCCGTGGAGAGGGGGAGTGTGCACCGGGGGCCTTTCCAGTGGTGCGTCTGGTTTCACCACAACCACATTTACCCGTCAGGGCAAAAGCTGTCATGCTGAAATCACTGACTTCTGCAAAGACGGGGTTTTTCAGGAAGATGGCTTTGAAGAGATTTCCCTGGCTCATGTTTACTCAGACTTTTCCCTGAAGAATAGGAGGGAGAACATTTATGCAAGTTAGTTCATACAAATCAACAGCTGTTATAGCAATGTTTTCCCTCAGAGATTTGAAGCGCGAATTATAAAAACTAGAGAGGAAATATGGCAATCAAGGCCATCTGGGACAAGAATATTTTTGTAATAAGATCTCTGATTCTCTAACCTAAGCAGACCAGTGAACAAATACCTCTTTTTCTAATCGTTGTGATAAGGTTTATGCTGCTGGGTTTTCCTTCTTGTTCATAACATTTTTATTGTTTGTTGTTCTGTCATTACAGGGTCACTGTAAGGGTTAGACCCTCGTTTTCCTTTGATAGTCATCATTTGATACCATTTGTCTAAAAGACTGACTGTGGGTTTGTTGTGTGAAGACTTACTGTGTTCCTAGTCGCTCGAGATCAAGGTGTAGGGTTTTGTGTGTGAGTGGACAGGAGTGTGTGCATGTGTGCTCTAGGGATTGCCAAACTCTCGGCTCAGTCTGCTGCCTCCCCTGGGCTTCTCCTCCTAAGTAACCGCCAGATTAATTCGAGCCTTTGATCCTGATTTTTTACATTTGCTAACCTGTAAATGACTTACGTTGCAGCTTTATTAATGTCAATTCAATGTCTATGAGTGTGATAGATGTCTAACATTTTTAATGATGCTCAGTTACTAGCGTTTTGCAAAGATTTCTATGCTTATAAACACATCTGTCTCATTTTATGTGATTGTTTTGACGAAGCCACAAACAACCATATGTTTGATGACATTTTCTCTGTGTTATCAAGAATTTGTCAGGAACAGCTGATGCTGAGGGCATTCACGAAGAGTTTTTGGTAGTGGGAATGTGAAGTTGGACATGTGAACTCTTCAAAATACTAAGCACCTACAGAAGAAAGGCCAGTTCTATGTAAGGTGTGTATGTGTGTGTATAGAAGGTCATGAGCACGTGACTACATACACTGTTTTTACAGCTGAAGTGTAACTGTCTCACAGGTGTCCAAGACATTGAGAAAAACTATCCAGAATTCCTAATTTCCATTTTTAGTCTCTGACTGCTGTGGCACGGCCTCTGTCTTCTCTGACAGATAAGTCCAGACAGTCACATGAGAAGTGCCCTGAGTAACAGTCAGCATCATCTTAGTTTGCATTCAAGCAATCGTTTATGGTTGGGTGTGAGCTCCCTAGGAGTTTTGCTGTGGGCCTAGAAATAACATGAGAGCTGATTAAAGACACACCAGCAAAGCCTTGTTAATCCCTTCCAAGAACTACTTCCCTTAATCCACAGCAGGGTCTTGGAAAAAACCTCCAAATTCTACCTCTTCAAAGAGCACCCCTGAAACCTGGTCGTGCCCAGGCCGCCGTCCCACGCCAGACGCCGTGCCAGCGATGGCTGCACCCACCGGGCAACACTAAGCCCGGGCAGCAGCCCGGGCGCGGGGCGGTGGGGTCGCTGCCGGGGTTGGTGGCAGCACCCGATGGAGTTAGCGTCGGGCTGTGGTCATGGGGGAAGGTTTGTACAGAAGGAAGTAAATTCAGGGGAAAGCTCTTTGTGGGGAAGGGAGAGGGTGAAATATCTGCATACAGGCAATGGAGAGATTGACGTTTTCCGGAGGCTCCGTCGTGCTGCTGGAGATCAGAGTGAAGCTTTGGTAAGAGCGGCAGTGAGTCCCTTCAACATCTGGGCAGTTTACAGGGTTCTGCCTCAGATCCTCACTGTCATAAATGTTGGCGTGCAGTAAATTTTTCACCCAACTGTCTTTGACAGGGTTCATCCCTGTCCTCACTACTGTAGTTCTCCCATTTACACAGGGATGATTTATTCTCGCTTTGTGATGGAAGTGCTGAGAGCAGCAGACAGGGTTTCTTGGCCCTTGGTACCTCCTGACTCCTGGAGCATGAATACCGCAGTACTACAGAAACCAGGCTGGGAGTAAAGCCTATAGTAACTGAGCCCCCATTTGATATGTTGCAGAGGACTGGTTTAAAGAATTCTGTTCTGGTTTTGAAGTTTTATTGCTGACTTCACTTCTGTGAATTCTCTGTGGACCACGTAGACATCACCTTTAATTCTGGACTCGTTTCTTTCAAAACACCAGTTCTTGCTATAAGGATAGGATTTCCCTAATGAAGTACACAGCTTGTGATGCTGATGCATAAAAAAAGCTTGCCTGCAATCTTGGTCTCTCTCTTCCCTGCATACAAATTAAATGCCTTTTTGTTCTATGAATTTGAAGAACTCTTTTAAAAATCAAATATGCCTGGCGAAAGGCTGCACATGGTTATTGATCAGTTTTATGATGCG